GAAAATCAATACTGGAAATGCCAGGGATTCTGCCGGGCAGCGTCTCACCGAAATCTCTCTGTGCTTCTGCGGATCAAACAGCATCTTCTCTGTGTGCAGTCGGGAGATAGGCACCATTTCCACGCGCGCTCCCCCTGCCCGCCCCTCGGGGCATTTTCATTATTCTCCGCTGAAGATTTTCTTCCTGTGATTCTTTCTTTAAAGCTGCAACTTCAACGTGTTCACCTCCAAAAGCCGAGCCATGGAGGGTCTCAGGTTCAATTCCAGTCAAGGGCACATGCCTGGGTTGTGGGCTCAATCCCCAGGTAGGGTTGTGCAGGAGGCAACCAATCAATGATTCTCTCTCATTATGGAGGTTTCTATCTTTCTATCTCTCTCTCCCGCTCCCTTCCTCTCCGAAACCAATAAAAATATTATTTTAAAAAAGAGTAAAAATAACAAAGTGGCTCTGCACCCACATCAGACATAAAACCTACATTTAAATGAAGTGTCTAGGATAGCCTTCTCTCCAGTCTAGCACCTGGAGCTCAGGAAAACCCCAGATTCGAAACTGCAAAAACCTGGTCCCACCCCACACCCCCAGCTACTCAGCATCCACCCAGCAGTTCCTCTGATGAAGCTCGCAATAGAAAATGCCATGTGGTTATTAGCTGCGAAGTGTCTGGCATGCTTCGCAAGCAGCCTTAACCACCCAGCAAACCTCAGGGTCTCCTCAGATAAACAAGTCCCCCCGCCCCAAATGTCCTGCCCCACCTGTCCTGAGGGTGGCCCCCCCCCAACCCCCCCGTGCCAAAAGGCGACTGACATTTAAAACTTGGTTGAAACCACACCAAACGCTGTCTATTTTAAATGTCAACGGGGAAGGCAGCTGGGCCGGCAGGCTTCTCCAAGACCCACGATAAACCCACTTCCCTGTAGTGAGATTTAAAAATCAGTCATTCGAGGCAGCAAGAGGAGGGAGTGAGGACAACACTGACCTTAACATCAAGGGCACCTGAAACGATTCACATTTGTGACTAATTATCTCTTTCCTAATCTTTATGTCCATCTCGGGGCAGTAGCTTTCTTTCCAGGAGTGAGACATCTGACCCAGTAGAATCCCAGGCTTCTGTAAGGTCTTGCTTGGTCCACATTGAGAGTGGCCATTTTCTACTGTGTGTGCGCATGAAACGCCTGGCATCTGTCATTCTTTTAAAGTACACATAAAAGTTTATGCTTCCTGAATCATTAAGAAAATAAACAAAAGGATGTCTGTGTTGTTTTTAAAACCTAAAAACTCTTTAAACTGCCTTAGAAGTATGTTCTCCTCAGATACAGAATAATACCATCAACCTGAAACCAAGATGTTATCTATTTTTCTGTCACTTTCCCATTAAAAGAGGTGGATTACACTTTAGAATAACAAATATGAATATATAAAATTTTAAAATATTTTTTATTGATTTCAGAGAGGAAGGAAGGGAGAGAGAGAGAGAGAGAGAGAGAGAGAGAGAAACTTTTTTTTTTAAATATTTGTATTGATTTCAGAGAGGAGAGGAGGAGAGAGAGAGAGAGAGAGAGAAACATTAATGATGAGAGAGAACCATTGATCAGCTGCCTCCTGCACGCCCCCTACTGGGAATTGAGTCTGCAACCCGGGCATGTGCCCTGACCAGGAATCGAACCTAGACCTCCTGGTTCATAGGTCGACATTCCACCACTGAGCCATGCCAGCCTGGGTGAATATATAAAAATTTAATGAGTATGTAGTACTTCTTACTCTGTGCTAGTCCTGTTCTAAGCACTTTACAAATAATGTATTTAATCCTCACAACAACTATAAGGTTAGGTCCTATGACCCCTATTTTTACAGAACAGGAAACTAAACACAGAGAGGTAAAGCAACTTGCTCAAGGTCACACAGCTAGTAAATGGCTATGATGGGTGCTGAACCCAGGAAGCCTGACTCTGAGGGCCATGCTCTTGACCGCCCCCCTCCATTGTCCCCCATACGCTAGTGCTGAGTGCTTCCCATGTGTTATTTCATAGAAACCATACAGTGACCTATAAGGTAGAGCATACTTTTATTCCCATTTTACAGATGAAGAAACAGGCACAGAAAGGCAAAGCAGCTTGCCCAAGACCACTCAGCCAACTGGTGGGCACTCTGACTCCATTCAGGTGCCACAGGCCTTTCCTCATGTCCCTTTGGGTAGAGTCAGGAAGGCAGCTGTGTCAGTGATTAGAAACCAATATCTGTCCAGAAGCTGTGGCTCAGTGGTTGAGTGTCAACCCATGAACCAGAAGGTCACGGTTCGACTCCCAATCAGGGCACATGCCCGGGTTGCAGGCTTGGTACCCAGTGGAGGGCGTGCAGGAAGCAGCTGATCAATGATTCTCTCTCATTGCTGATGCTTCTATCTCTCTCTCCCTCTCCCTTTATCTCTGAAATAAATAAAAATATATTTTAAAAAAGAAAGAAAGAAACCATCCTTTAATGGAACCTGGAACTCATTTGCCCCATAACAATCGTGTTTAGGCAGGAGAAACATTACATCATCTGATACAATTCCATCTTTAACAGAGCAGACCAAGCCGCTTCCCCACAAGAAGTCACTTGGCTAAAGGGTACATATAATTAACCCAATTAGATTGCCACACAGAGGGGCGGGAGGGAAAGTCACCAGAGAAGCAGTTTTCAAAGTGTGGTTTGGGGTTCTCTGGGGGATCCATCAGACCTTCTCTACATGGTCCAAACTATTTACTTAGTGACACCGGGCTGCTATCTGGGCATGTCCTGCGGGGTTCTCCAGAGACACCCCCCACAGATCGCCACAGACTGAGCAGGAAGATTCAAGGTTCCAGCGCCCCTCTAGGAAGCCAGATGGGGCAGAGATTTGCAAGCATATCCAACAATGCTCTCTTCTACTTTTTACGCTGAAAGTTATTTTTCATAAAAGCGCTGTTTGTGCCAACGTGTACTAGGCTTATGATTAAGTGAATTACGGCACATTGTAACATTTCTTGGGTTTAATTCCTATGGTGAATGAAGGGAGAGCTAATCCAATAAGATAACATTTTAAGCGCATAAAGGGATCTTGAGACCAAAGACCCCAGGAACCACAGCCTGAGATGGTGACGTCGTCAGAGCGGGACCACACGTGCCCCACGCCCCGTGCCCTGCAGGAACTCGGGACATTGAACGAAGACCCAGGTGTACAGTAGGAGTAGGGGCCATCCTTTTAGGTACACATCCCCACAGGCACAATAATGACAGATGCTCAGACCCACACACTTACCTGGAAATAGTCTGTAATGAACGCTCCGAGTTCACTCTTCAGCAGCCGCCTGGGGAGAGAGAAACACCGTCAAGCAACCCTCGATGGTACAGCTCCCGCTGTCCGGGTCACGGACACAACACAATGACGGGTGCTGGGCAATGACAGGGGTTGGCCAGGCCTCGGAGGGTGAACTTTCCCCGGCCCCGGTGATACCGCTCCGCCAATGTTCTCAGGGAACTGGGGTGATGAATATCCTACAGGGGGTCTGCTCCTTAGCTCACAAACACAGCCTTCTCAGGAAGGCAGTCACCGGAGGTCCCAGAAATGGAGCTGGTGGAGGCAGGTAGGGTGCCTGGCTTCATGTGAAATCAACCAACCAACCAACAAACAAACACAATACCAAGAAAGAGAAAGACCACAATTGTGCAAGCCCCCACATTTGCAGACATTACAGCCTAAATGCATTTGTCATGCATTCTTCAACCAAGGATTATAAAGTCTGGTTAGAGGGAGGGGCAATGATTACCTCTCCTACAGAAAGAAATTGAGGCGCAGAGAGGTCCCCTACACAAGTCAGTGGCCGAGTTAACATTCAAACCCAGACCTTCTACAAACTCAACATCTCTTCCCATAACCCCACCCCGTCTCTCCTCCAAATCCATGGGAGACATGCAACGTGGTGCCATGGTTTGGGTGGTCCTACCGCCCATCCCCAAGGGACTGTGGCAGCGGGGAGGGGACCACAGTGGGGAGGACAGAGCATGTGTATCCAGGCAGCACACAGCTACTGCCTGTGACGTGCCGTAGATTTTTCCGGCCCCTGGCGCACAGGAGTGAACGGGACAGGGGAGGCCTCACTCTCATGCAGCTTCTATTCCAGGGGGAGGAGAGTGGACAGATAGCTTGTCAATCAACACCCTCACAAGGTGAGTTCAAAGAGTCCCAGTGCTAAGAAAAAAATGAAAAATAGGGCTGTGGGCACCCCCTCTCCTTCTCCTTGTGACAGATCATGGGACTCTCCCTACTGCTCTTCCCTTAATTGGATCCAAACCAGGTGAGGGAGCTACAACCAAGACTAACCAGCTTCCAGGTCCAGGGAGTTGCCTGGGACAGGCTTCCTGAGTTCAAGACCTTCCCCATCGGGTATCGTCACGTAGAATTATCTATCTGAACAGCGTCGGCCCTCTCTGATCGTTCAAGCCCTCCCTCTCTTGTCCTGGGTGGGCAAGTCAGTAAGCTCCTCTGTCCCTTACGAAACCCCGTCTTATTTCTGCCCGAGCACGTTATAGGCTAGACAAGGTCTCTGCCTGTGTGTGCACAGTGTTCCCTGCAGCAAAACACAGGAATCAACCTGAATGGGCGCCACGGAGGTGCTCCCAGAAAAAGTGTGCTCCCTTCAGACAACGGGATTCCACGCGACTGTGAGAAAGCAAGAGGGGGTGCAGAAGTGCGCTGAGCGATGCTATGAAAAGCTCCAAGTTACATGAAGGAAAGAGAAAAAAGCAGGATGTGGAACCGTGTGGGTAGCAGGCTCCCTTGTGAAAAAGGGAACAATACACATTTTTATTTACACAATGTCAACCAATTCATCTGTCAAAACTGCTCCTGCTTGCTTACTCTGGAATGGCTATGTGAGTTGCTTCCCAGGAGGCCCTCGGTGCTGAAATTAGCACCTTGCTTTTTAAACACGCACAACACACATACATTTTAAGTATTATGTATAAATGCCCTCGGTTTTGCCCAGCCTGCGTGGCTCAATGGTTGAGCATCGACCTATGAACCAAGAGGTTGCGGTTCAATTCCCAGTCAGGGCACATGCCTGGGTTGTGGGCTCGATCCCCAGTGTGGGGCGTGCAGGAGGCAGCTGACCAATGATTCTCTCTCATCATTCTATCTCTCTCTCCCTCTCCCTTCCTCTCTGAAATCAATAAAAATATATATGTATTTTTTTAAAAAAAAACCATCTTTTTATTAACAATCACCGCCACGAAGGTGACCTGGATGGCTTGAAGCCCAGAAGAAGTGGTGGCAGGGAGTTCCCATCAAGGGCACAGGAGCCGGAAGCAGGCTGCCCTAGGGCCCTCAGAGAATCCCACAGCCCCTCAGGCTGGTAACCAGCAAGCTTCACCCAGAGCGAGGGAGGGTGAGGAGAGGCTGGAGCTGGCCCAGCCGCCAGGGAACAGACCAGGGCTGAGTCATATGCAAAATCCACCTTCTGTTTCTATACTCTGTGTTTATTCTGCTCAGGCTTGGTTTACAAGGAAAGGATGCTTCGGAAAACTCTAGAGAAAGAGGGATTTTCCACCCCTCTGACTCGAAGCACCGCCTCCAGGGGGAACGGGGCAGTGGCTTCCCCCAACGGAGGAAAGAGCGACTGATGGAGAATAGGGACGCTGGGAATTCCTAGCCTTTACCCAAAGCCTGCGCTGTGTTAGACATGGTGCTAGGAGCCAGAAGGAGAGGACAAAGCCGGAGCTCAGACAGATTTCTTCCCAGCGCCTCCTTCTCCAAAACTTGGGAGTCCCAGACCTAAAATCGCAGAGGGACAATTCGCCCTGCCCTCTGCCCCACTAAGTGAGCCAGTTCAGCTTGGAGAGCACCAGGAAGAAGAGAGGCAGGAGGAAAACAACAGAGTGAAGGAGCCTGTGGTTTGTGGTTGCCTGGATGCAAAGAGACGAAAACCCCCATGCTAGGATGTGCGCTCCTCCCGGCACAGCAGCCTGGCATCTGGCAGCCTCCTCCCACCCTTCCCCGGGAAACAGGAAAGGAATGACTTCTTGGAGCAAAAATAGATGACAGACAGACAGACGGACGGGCAGATAAATGAATAAGGGATAAAAACCAAATTGCTGCTTGGATGAGGCCTGGCTTTCCCCCCCACTTCAAGTTTACTGAGCGCTTGCTAAGTAGCAGGCACTGTTGTCAACAAGGTCCACGTGCTTCCTCATTTAAGGCTAAAACAAAACTCTCCATCAGTAACATCAGTAGCAGTAACATCTCCACTTTCCATACCCAAGGAGAGGGACCCTTGAAGGTGACCGGGGAGCGCGGGCAGCAGCCCATCCTGGAGAGGAACCTCGCTGACGGCAAGGGCCTGGAGGCAGTGCCGGGGGCTGTAGCCTGAGCGATAACCTGTGCAGGTGCACGTCACAAGGGAGTCCCTTGTGGCTGTTTCCTCAGTGGGAACGTGGGGATAGAGAGACACGGACTCCATAGGATGCTGCAGGGGCTGAAGGAATTAACCCTAGAACGGGGAGTTCCTAGTGCACAGCAGTGAGTGTTAGCTGGGAGGGTTCGACCCAGGTCGTCTGACCCCCAAGCCCATACTCCTCTAACAGCTCCATTCTCTCTCTCTCTCTCTCTCTCTCTCT